CCCCCCCTTTGCTAACAATCATACCCCCCCCCCTCAGTTTTATTATTTCCTACCCCTCCTACTACCTAGCCAGCAATAATTCTTCCTTGCAAAATAAAATGACCACAAAAATTTATTTTTAAGAAATTTAAAATGTTAGAGTGTTCTTTTTTAAATTCCTACAATTATTAAAAATTATAAATGTTTATTTTGTAGAGTGAGAACCAGAAAACTCTGGAATAGGAAGTCGACTTTTAGACTCAATTTTTATGACTTGAGTAATGTAAAAAGACCCATTCTACTTTAAGTGATCTGTTAAGTTAATAATGAAGCTTTTTGCTACAGGGTGTCCCACAAAATTCATGACAGTTGATGAATAGTTTAGAATGTCGTCTTCCAAATACTGGATTAGATTAAAGACTTTTTGCAGTTTAGTTCAGATGCAAATCTTTTACTACAATATATGTTAATCTATATTTTACTATAATAAGGCTGCTATATAATGTTTATTATTATTCTCTTTGGTATCAACCAACTTAACAAATTATGGAAGAAGACATTTTAAAATATTCAGCAATTGTCATGTTTCGTGGGACACCTTGTATGTAATAATATCAATTGGACTTCAATGTCGTCTTCCTATTCTACAGCTTTATAGTTCGCACTCCAACTGACCTTGTTCTGCAGTAATCTCCTCTGGACTGTGTTGTGTAAGAGAAGGTGGGTGGAGGTGGGTTTCAAAACTAACATACTTCGTGGAGCTCGAGAACATTCGCTACAAAAAAAATAAATAAATTTTCTATTAAAGGGAGTGTACCGTTATTTACCCGATTCGCAACGATATCGGATTTACATGATGTGGAAGATATTTTTGTTTTTTTTTCTCTAGAAAAGATCAAAATTCTTTCTATTTTCTTGCTGGTCTCCGCTGCAGTAATTACTTTATTTAAAACAGTAATTGAAAGTTAAAAAAGAAATTCCACTACATCAGTTCAGAAGAAGGTTGAATGGGTACCATCATGAATCGGACATGCAACCCTTTAAATGGGGTTCCCTTAGCATTATATCGACAGTCTCTTTAATATAAATACATCTTTTGAGACAGTGAGCACCAAAAACTGTGGAAAAGAATTAATTAAATCACTTATTCAGTGAAATGATCTGTTTACACTGCACAATTGCGGTTTCTAATGTTTATTAGACTATTTAAAGTCATACCTTTGTGCTTAGAAGTCGTCTTTCTATTTCGGAGTATTCTGGTGCTCACTGTATCTAAGTTTGTTTATGAATAAATATTTCAGGAAAGTTTGAATATTTTGTTTATATAAAACATTCAGATTATATACATCATACATGCAGGTAGCAAGGTAAGGTAGAAGGGGGGTCCACGAAAAAAGTATTCAGGTACTGGGTCTGTTTACACTGCACAATCCATGTGTACATTGGACTTTCTAAAGTTATAACTCGATTCTTTAAGTCTATTTCCTATTTTCGAATTTTCTGGTTATCACTGTTCTGTACAGTTTTATATGCAAAACTAAATTATGTGCAAATTGAAATTGTCCAGATCTGTTTGCTTGAATTATAATCTATGTTGTAACTTTAAAAAGATTCTTTATAAATCAACTCATGTGATTTGTTCTTAATGTTTTGCATCTTTACATGAAACAGTTCAAGTTCATTCAAACAATTATAGAAGGATCTAATTTTTACAGAATCAAAAATTTTAGTTTATTTTTGATAATTTTAATTTTGCATCGACAGTCGACACTGCTTTTTTCTGCAGCTCTAAAAAATGTTGATTAAGTTATTTAAAAAATTGTAGATTTTTGAAGAAATTTCTTAAACATTTTCAGTTTCCAAGTGAAATGTATATTTTTTAATCTTCTTAAATATATGTGGTAGGATTTTTGAGTGACTGCTGAGGGTGTGCTTTAAAGTCATATACTCATGGGGTGTTCACGATTACATTTTTTTGTGATTTTAACCTTTTTTGCGCTTGCATCCCCTGGTTTTCTTCCTTTATTTGACTCATCATCAGATTCAAGCATATTCTCTTAATTTATTAATAAAATATGATTATTATCAGATCTCTGATATATTGATAATTATACTTTATATCAGATCTGTAATATATTGATAATTATACTTTATATCAGATCTGTACTATATTGATAATTATACTTTATATCAGATCTGTAATATATTGATAATTATAATTTATATCAGATCTGTACTATATTGATAGCTAGCTGAAGGGCCCGGCGTTGCCCGTGGAATTTTTTTTTTAAAAATAAAATTTCGAATTTTTTTTAGCCTATTACACCCCCCGGCAACCCATGAGTGTCCACAAAAATTGTCAGTCCAATCGGTCCAGCCGTTTGGCCGGCCATACGCAACATATATAAATATGAATGTCTTGTTTTATTATATAGATTTACTGTATATCAGATCTGTACTATATTGATAATTTACTGTATATCAAATCTCTGCTCTAAAGTTCAATAGATCCTCTAATTTTCTTTTAAAAAATAAGGATATTTCTAAAATAATAATCTTAATTCAAATAAAAATAGCTGAAGTTCCCGGCGTTGCCCGTGGAATTTTAAAACACTTTAGAATTTTTAAAAGAAAAAATGGTTAACATTTTTAGCCTAATTTTTCACCTTTGAATTTCCTAGAAAATTAGCTAATTTGATCAAGACGTTTGGCTAGCTAATAGCTAACATATATGTGAGCGAATAGCTTTATTATATTAACATTGACATAACCTTGGAATACATTTAATCTAAAAATTAAATATTTCATTGAATTGTAAAATTAATAATCAAATTGAAAGTCTTTAATTTCTTATTTACAGACCTGAAATGGTCTATTTATTTTTTTATAATTATGTGGCCTTTTTCTATGTGAAAAACTTCTCTATTCTGTCCTAGCCGCAGAGCTCGGCCCTTAGCCTGTCCTCTATCCCAGCCGCAGTGCTCGGCCTATAGCCTGTCCTCTATCCTAGCCGTAGTGCTCGGCCCATAGCTTGTCCTCTGACCTAGCTGCAGTGCTCAGCCCTTAGCCTGTCCTCTGTCCTAGCCGCAGTGCTCGTCCCTTAGCCTGTCCTCTGTCCTAGCCGCAGTGCTCGTCCCTTAGCTTGTCCTCTGTCCTAGCCGCAGTGCTCGTCCCTTAGCTTGTCCTCTGTCCTAAACGCAGTGCTCGGGTCTTAGCCTGTCCTCTATTCTAGCCGCAGTCCTCGAATCCTCTTGTAAACTGATGCGCTAAGGTACTAACCTCAAATTATGTAATGTAAATGTTTTTCATGCAATTAAAAATTAATGTTTTCTGAGACAGAATTTAAAGAGTTTGAGCCGCGGCTTAAATTTAAGCCACGGCTCAAATTTTGGTGGTTCCACTTAAATTAGTATTAAATATTTCAAGATTCAAACCGGTGCTCAATTGAAATCGGTTTTTTGGGGATTTGAGACGCGGCTTAAATTCATTAAATTCGGACACTGGTTGTTTATTGCAATAATGTAACAGGCAAAACAGGGTCCCCCGCAAAGGATGAGATTTAATTGAGACGACTGTACATAATTTATTCAATCTTTTTTCTTTTATTTATTTATCTTATAAATGGTTTTCAGCATCACACAGCATTTCAGTAATCACAATTTAAAGCGAACCTCCATGCAAAGATGGGAACGCTTGATTTACAACAGGACCCTTAAAAACTTTTTCTGGTCAAGTATTAATTAGATATCAATATTTTTGTTGATTTAAATTGTATTTTTATTTGTGGTTTCTCTGCAAGCGTGCCTTCCGCATTTCTTACTTTTAAGAAACTTCAAATTAAGAGGGTCACTTCAAAATACGCTTACTGTCCCTTTAAGAAATAACTCAATCATTCATTTAGGTTTAGATCGCCAAAAAAGTCCTATCCTTCGTGGGTGGCCCTGTATTCCAAAAATCCTAATCCTTCGTGGGTGGCCCTGCATTCCAAAAAGTCCTATCCTTCGTGGGTGGCCCTGAACAGGTAGACAAGTAGACAGGTAGACAAGTAGACAGGTAGACAAGTACACAGGTAGACAAGTAGACAGGTAGACAAGTAGACAGGTAGACAAGTACACATGTAGACAAGTAGACAGGTAGACAAGTAGACAGGTATACTGGTAGATAGGTTAACAGGTTAACAGATAGACTAGTTGAAATACATGTTACTAGGTTTACAGGTAGACAGGTAGATAGGTGGACAGGTAGGTAGGTAGACAGGTAGATAGGTAGACAGGTAGATAGGTAGACAGGTAGATAGGTAGATAGGTAGACAGGTAGACAGTTAGAAAGGAAGAAAGGTAGACAAGTAAAATGGTAGAAAGATAGTATGACTTTTACTGCTAAGTAAATAATCGCAGACTGTTTCCTTTCTTTTAATCCTTATTTTCTTTTGTGATAACCAAGAGTTAAAGTTTATTGAACTAAATATAAATAACAATTTTTGTGGTTAATGGTGATGGCCGCTGATTTTGTATGCCTTATATACCCTGAATTCAAATGCTAGGAACATTTCATTGGATGTTAATACTATCTAACCTTTCATTAGATGGTATTAACATCACATGAAATGTTCTTAGTATATAAATTTAGAATATATTAGCCATACAAAATAAACGTCTGTCGCTGTTGATGGCAAATTGAACAGGCCTACATCAGTTGCATAAATCATAAATTTATTGTGCAATTTTTATTAAAACGGCATTAAATTATGATTTCAAGCACAAAATAACATGAAAGAAGAGTAGATGTTAAAACAATAATGCTTGTAAAAATTTTTGTTGAGGAAGATGATGTTGTTGTTGTTGTTGTTGTTGTTGTTGGAGGACCTTCATAATTATAAATAGAAGCTATATTTGACCATGTATTCTTTTTTCCATCTTGAGATACTGTGACAAGTTTAAAGAAATACTGCTGTTCAACCTCAAATCTGTAAATGCTAACATCCAACTTGACTTTAGTGCCAGCTACAGTAGGGGCGAGCTGATCAGAATTCAAGACATCAGTACTGTTCAAACTATCAACAAACCCAACAATTAAATTTTCATCAATTAAATCTGTTGCATTTTTTGTAAAATAAATGTCAATTTTTCCAGCAGTTCCAGAATCCAAAATATTCCCTGCTGAAGTAAAGAAGAGGCTGAAGTATGTACGGTTAACATTATTACCAGTCCTTAGATCTGAAACTTTCCCTGGAGGATACTTGGCTTTATCTCCATTCATAATTTCTATGGATCCTCCAGCAGAAGATCTTCTAAAATCTCCAGTCCGTGTCAATGTTGAATCATCCCTCATAGTATTGCTTCCGCAACAAATAGGGTTTTCTTCAGATGGTTTGCTAGGAAGCGCTTTAAGTTTAGGATGTCTTTTAGCCTCAATAAATCCTTCATTTATTTGAGTATCCTCTGAACCTTCCACTTGACACTTTAAGCTGTATCACCTTGATGCACTATCTGGTGTAAAGCTTGTAAAATATCTAGCATAGACTCCATCATTAGCTACTGTATCAGGTTCAGATCCTGAATCTGAAAGAGTTATTTCCAAAGGAACATCATTGTCATCTCGCTCAATATAGGCTGTTATCTTTGCACCAATTACAGGGTTGGTCCCTTGCAAAACCCTGGCAATTATGGCAATTTTGATGTCAGTTGACATATCTGCTTTGCTGTTACCAATGCTTGTCCAACAGTTTGTCATTATTGGAATAGTGTCAGACCTGGATTTTGCTGTGATCTTTATGCTTGCAAATTCAATTGCATCATTGCTTTTTGATTTAGCAGAAACAGTGTAGTAACCTTGATCCAACTCAGGAAAAGATTTAAAGAAGACTCCATTTTCTTCATTAAACTCATCTGTAGAACTGTTAATCTCAATATTAGCACCTTTATTTCCTGCGAAGTCTATTTGAATTGAAACATCTTTACCTATTAACTTATCAATGGTGAAGTTAAAAGAAAACTCCAATGTCTTCTTATAAGTATGTTCATAGATAATGATGTCCACCTCATTCGAAGGGACTGATGGTTGATATGTAAGAGAACCTTGCATGGCAGTATTGATGACCTCTGGACCAGATTCATCAGGAACGAAAAATGCTTTACCATCAGTTTCCTCTGCAAGTTTTATAATATCCGGATCTGCATCATTACTGAAGGCAATAGTTATAACTCGGACACCTTGTTCCTTTATTTCAGGAATTACTTCTTTTATGGTTGATTTATCCGCCCCAGCTTTACAGTAATATTCACCATCAGTCAAAAACATCATAACTCCGCCATATGTAACACCATACTTTCTTAAAACTTCAAGCCCTTTTCTTAATCCTGCTCCAAGGCAAGTTTCTAATTCTGTTGTTATACCATCTAGCTTTTCAATTAACTGTGGTCTAGTGATATCACTGAGCTCGACAATTTCAGATAATACAGTTGCGACTGTGTTGAAAGTTACAATACCAACTGGGGCACCATCTTTAGCATCATAGCGAACCCATCTTTTAGTTGATTCTTTCATTCTTTGAAGTCTGGTTCTACCCTGATTGTCCATGCTTTTAGATGCATCCAGAACCATTACAAAGCTAGAGGATGGTTAAGCTCTTAGAATTTCAAAGCTGGGTGTTCTGCTTTCTTCTGTGTTGCCATCTGTGTAGTCACTAAAGTCAGGATGATCTTTTATTACTTTAAAAGTGCTTTGACCTTGACACATATCATTATGCTTTGTTGATATGTCTGATTGATGCAGGAAGATTTCAGAGTCATCACAAAATTGATCATTACCCTTTAAATACGGGATTGCCATAATTGATGATTCAACTTCATTGCCATCTCCTAGAACTGGAAAGCAGTTTAAGTCTGGAAGTCCAGTCTCTACATCATATTCACAAGCCCCGCCATTTTTCCAGTTTTCAAGTCTATAATCCTCCAGATCTTTATTGGTACAAAAGTTGGGAGTTATTGCATTGACTTGACCCTGCATTGTTCACTGGGACTTGTAATAAAACATTGGATACTTCTCATCCCCTGGATATCCAAACTCATCAAACACCCCGTATCTGTATTTAGCTCATTCATGAACAAACACCTGTCCTGGAGGTCCAAAAGTAGCTTCAATACTTCCGTAATTTTCTATAAACTCATTTGAGATCTGAATATATTCTCCTTCTTCTCCACAGCCGCCTGTTTGTAGTGTATATGGTGTATTACCATACACTCCACTTGAACATCTCCATCCTCAAAGACCAAGCTCTCCACAAGTGTAGCATTGATGTCTGTCCATGCAGAAGGGATAAGAATGCTAAATAAAAAGTCTAATTTAGTTTTTAAAAATCAATGGTGCTGAGATTCATCTTCAGCATGAGATTATATGAAATAAGCAAGTGTGGATCATTTCTGCCAAGTTGGAATTATGTGAACACATCATTGAAAAAGTAATGGTAAATTCCCTTCCAGGGAAATGGAAATTATTTATTTTTCTTACTTGACTTTTCTTATGTAAGCCCATTTTCTAGATGCAGTATAAAGTCTCTCACTTCCCTCTGTTAACCAGCTTTTTATGTTATCTGTAAAAAATAGTATCATTTCCACTGAGAAAAGCTTTCTAATGATTAGTAGTGATATTGTGATGAGTAAAAATGAAGATCCTTTACATTTACAATATCAGTATAATATACTTATGCAAATCCTTTAAAGGTTATATTATTATGAGAATTAATGATATTAAAAATGCAGTGGCTCCTTCCTTTCCCATCGTGAAAGTTGAACATTTTTCAATATGTGGACAAAGAAAAATATTACTTAAATCACAGAAAGCTTTAGTTGATGAACTAACATTTTTGAAATTTTTAGATTATCACCTATGATTAATTGGGCATTTTTTACAGGAACATCTGGAGATATAGCCACAAGAAGATCTTCATAGCCATGGTTAGTAAACTTTAAACTGTTTACAGACCCTTCAAAAGAAATGTTCAATGTCAATTTTTTTAAACTACTATTCATGCCACAAATGAATTGATGGCACAATAGGATTTGTTCCGTAATTTTGCATAAAGTTTATCTGGTAGTTGTTGAAGAATGTGATTATACATAAAATTGATAACTCTGACTGTCATTGCACAGTGTAAGTGCTTAAATTTTTGCATCAATTACAGGCTTGTTAGCAATTCAGTTATGCCCTGCATAGATAGCTTTGATTTAGGGATCAAGCATTGAGCCTCAATTTTAAAAGTGATAACATCGAATATGAAGAAAAAGTGTTCAAAATTAACAAAACTTTACATAAAAGTTTCAATCCTAGATTTCTTCTAGATCAAATTGTCAAATTTTGCGCACCATTACATATAGAAATTGTTGTGCAAAAATTAATTTATCTAAAACGTGAAATTTCTTTAACAAGGTTTCCACATTTAAATATATTGTAAAGTTAAATGCCGCTTTCTCAGCTGAATGATGATTGAATAATAGACAAAATGGGAAAATGCAGGATTTCAAGATTTTAACCCTGTGTTTAAATTTTAACTTGTCGATTTCGGTGAGTTAAATATTTAACCACAGGATTAAATATTTAACCACAGGGTTAAATATTTAACCACAGGGTTAAATATTTAACCACAGGGTTAAATATTTAACCTCACGGTTAAAGTTCAGGTTTAAATTAAGTCAGAAGTGGCATTTAACCATGAACTTAAAATTTAAGTCAAAACTTTTCGTTCTTTAGTTTTAGACTCTAATGGTGTAAACCTTATATATTTTAAACTTAGATTATTTTATTTAACAGAATAAATAGTTTGAAATATCTAAGTTCTCTGACATTGGGCTGTAAAGATTTAGGGCTAAGAAAATTTGCTATTGGCCTCACCCAAAGAGCTTTGTAATATAAAGAGAAGGCATTGGGATTTATACGCAAAACCAGACGCCTCAATTGGGTTAAATCAGGAGCCATAAAATGTCGTCTTTTCTATAATTTAAAAGGTTTTAGGACTTTTTATCTTTTTAGATAAACTTTATCTTAAAACAGATTATAATGTAATTGGTTAAAAAAATTTGGCTACTTAAAACCAAAGTTTTTTCGGGTCTTGCTTACGTTACTAGCTTAAAATTTTCTTTTAAAATATGTGGTATTCATAACCGTGACTTTATTTTCCCACCATTTTTAGCATGTACAATGATTAATTTATTTGATAACTAGAGTTTTAATGTTGATTGTTTGAATTTAAAACCAAAGCTGCAGCCAATGATGCCATATAAAAGTATACAAAGCGTACACACTATTCGGATAAATTCCTAATGCCCTATCTTCTACTATTCTACCGTCTTTGGCCCCACCTACCTCGGAAGAAACGAAATGTATCTAGTCCTGGTTAGTCCAGGGTGACGTGGCATGATGATGTATTGAATATATAAACAATCATTATTAAACATCCTGGTTCCAAAGTGATGATGCTGTTAATTAATTTAAAAAAACTTAAAAGAGATAACAAAATGTACAAAACTTACAGATAATGATTAAAGTTTAAAAAGGTCACATCACTTAAATTTTACATCTTTTTCAAAAATAAATAAAATTTTAACTTTTCAGCGGAGTACTTTGTTAAAACATTAGAACATAGTTTGAGAAAAAAAACTTTTTTGTGGATGGGAGGGGGTTGGGGAAATTCCTTCAGCGTATGTTCTTAAAAGGAGTGTTCGCAAAAAATGAAAGGGGGTATAGGCTTACAGCGAAAAATAAGCGCTTTTGATCGCTACTAATCTTACTTTTATCTATTGCGTCTATAAGGATAAAATTAATAATAAAAAACGACTCATACCGAAGAACGTAGCGTTCATGCAAATTCAGAAAGTTGCAACATTCAATTCGGACCGTAAAAAAATCAATTAAATTCCAAACTAAACGTTAGATAATACAACCAACAATCATCGATAATTTTTCGACGCATTCGTTTATAGTTGATATCTCAGATTTTTGTTTTTTTTGATCTGATAGTTACTTTTGAAAACTTTTATTCCTGTTTCGAGGATTTTTGGTAATGAAGACGACATTTCCATATTTTCCAGGAATGTTCGAAAATCCAGCGCCAGCGAAATGTTATTTTAAAAAACAAAATCAAAAATATTATTAAATATAAACTAAATACGAATGCGTCGAAAAATAATCGATGACTAAAGTTTGTAATATCTAAATGATTTGTTTGAAATCCAATTGATTATTTTACGATCCGAGTTGAATGTTGCAACTTTCTGAATTTGTATGGACAATACGCTACGTTCTTCGGTATTAGTCGTTTTCAACAATTTTCTCCTTATAGTTGCAAAAGATAGAAGTAAGGTCTGTAGCGATCAAAAGCGCATATTTTTCGCCGTAAGTCTATACCCCCTTTTATTTTTTGCGAACACTCCCTTTAAGTTTTAAATATATTTTAGTTTAAAGAGTTACTCTCTTTTAATACACATCACAACAATTTGGAATATATATTTTGTAAGGGGGCAAATGTGTTACTTTAGGTAACCGGGGAAAAGTGTTCATGTTTACCTTCCGTGAACGTGTCAAAGTTTAAAATTTACGATATACTATAATTTTAAGAATAAAAAATTCAACAAATAATTTAGTTAAAGGGAGTGTTCGCGAAAAATGAAAGGGGGTATAGGCTTAATGCGATAAAAAAGCGCTTTTGATCGCTACTAATCTTACTTCTATCTGTTGCGTCTATAAGGAGGTACCGAATAACTCAGCGGCCATACAAATTGAGAAAATTGCAACATACTACTTAGACCGTAAAAAATCAATTTAATTTCAAACAAATCATTTAGATATTACAAGCTATAGTCATCGATTATCTTTCGCCACATTTGTATATAGTTTATATTTTATAATATTTTATTTTTTTAGAAAACGTTTTCAAAGGATTTCGAAAATTGTGAGTGGTGTGCGGCATTCTTAGATAGTTGCGCAAGCGACAAGAGAAACAAACAAATTAATTTAAAAATATTATAAAATATAAACTATATACAAATGTGGCGAAAGATAATCAATGACTACAGGTTGTAAAATCTGAATGATTTGTTTGAAATTAAATTGATTTTTTACAGTCTAAGTCGTATTTTGCAATTTATTCAATTAGTATGGCCGCTAAGTTATTCGGTATGAGACGTCTTTAAGAATTTTCTCCTTATAGACGCAACAGATAGAAGTAAGATTAGTAGCGATCAAAAGCGCTTTTTTATCGTACTAAGCCTATACCCCCTTTCATTTTTCGCGAACACTCCCTTTAAAGTTACGAAGCTTCTTTCTCTCATAGTCTTAGATAGTATTTGTGAGAAATGTTTCATAAATTTTATTAATAACTAAATAAATAAATAGAAACACAAATAAATAAATAGATAATTAAATAATAGAAAAGTAGATGGATATTTAACATTTAGATAACAGCTTTTTTGGTATTTGTGATCGTCACTGGTAACAAGCATTTTTTTTAAATGTCAACATAAATTAGCAATTCAAAAAAATCATTTTTGTAAATAAATCCATTCTTATAAATAAAAGCGACAACTGCACTGAACTGTGCATTTGTATTCTGCAGTACACTCCAGTGTTGAGGTTAAATGTTAAGAATTATATGTAGGAACGTTATTGTACTGCTGTTGTACTCCATACCTCCCGTAGTTCTCTGTTCGGTGCTAATAATTAAATTGAATTAAACAAAATTAAAAATATTCAACCTTAAAGAATTAGAGAGTCTGTATTTTGCTCATTGTTCATTAAAGAAATTTCACTTTTGAATCTGGTTTAAATCTGTTTTGATTTAACATTTTGTTTATTTCTTCTGCAACTTCATTCTGAGTTTCAAAACTTTGTAATTTGTTTTTTTGGTGGCTTAATTGCGTCCAGTTTATTTAATGCCACGCTACTTTTTGTATTTGAAATTTGGTCGTCTTTTACTTAAGTTATTTTAAACACGTGTCTTTAAATTTAAGCGTAAGGAAATAAGGTTTTGCCACAAACTCAAATCTTTTAATCCCCATATCTCTATATCTTGGCAACCTGATGTTGTTGGCCTTTAATATTCTAATCTATGCTTTCTGTTCGCTTAAAAATATTAAGTTTGAAATATAAAAAGTTCACAACATCAGGTTGGAAAAATTTATAGAGTAGAAAATTTGACTTTGTGGCAAAAACTCAATTCCTTTGCACATAAAAATATTCATACAGTTATACATACACACAAAAATATACATACAGTGGAATTCATGAAACTGTATTTTGAAAGACGACATTTGAGCAATCTAATGTGTATATGATGTTGTTATAAAGTAAATAGTTTTTTTTTACCTGAAAAATCTTAAAAATTAAAATGGTCTGTATACAACACTACAAAATTGTCGTGTTTTATATTAATTGAACTGTTGAATATCATATATTGAGTTTAACTGTCGTCTTCCTATTTCACAGTTTTATATTGGTCCCATTGGATTAAAATAAAATATCTAACTACAGTATTGTTTTAAGGAAATGTAACAATGTAAAGGCTTGAAAATCAACCAAGAAAACTTAAGAAATCCGCCAAAAAAATGGGATCGGTACATTCGACATTTTGTCATCTGCAATTAAAGTTTAGAAAGAAATTCTATTAGAAAATCAGTTTCAGACAATTGAGTCAAATATTTTGTCTTTTTTAAGTTACTTTGTTCATCAAACGTAGAGAAGAATTATGTTTTTACAATGCAGATATATAAAATGAGCAAATAAAATGCTAAAATCTCAATATTTTTAGAGTCCAGATATGATGTTCATATTTGAACAATTTTAGATCCATAAAACTAACACATTTTGTACAGCATGCTTTTATTTTGTTATATTTCCTAAATATCAGGCTGTATCATACCTCATCGTAGTTGTTTCCGTAGTACGGTTGATGATAAGCGTACT